GAAAACGTGCTACATGGTGCGTGTTTATATCAATCGCTGCTGCCGAACCGCCGGCGAAAATGTCAGCACCACCGCACTCACCATTAGCCGGCGGCGCTGTGCTGTTTTTGCACTGCGTCAATAGCACCAAAGGATTGCACTTGGCCTTGCATGCTACACGTGCGTCTACTGCCTATTCGCAATAATAAATTGCTATTTTCGGGCATTCACACATATACACATAAGTATCTTTTCATATGAGCAGCTAGGCGTGCATATGTGAGCGCTAGTGTAGCATTCGAATCGCTTTTATTATAAATTTTGCTGTTCTTCTTTTTGCGATTTTGCTAACTTGTAAGGCCAAATGGTGATTTGTTTAAATGCATATTAAAACACACCATCATGTGCATGAATGAAAACAAACATTAGCCGATTGCTATTTAAATTAATTTACTGCCACCACACTGTGTAATGGAATAAGTTTACTCAGCGATGTGAAAATCATAAAAACAAGCGAGAAAGCGCTGAGTTTAGAGGGAATCCACTATTAAATGATTTCTATGGTGAATAAATTGTAGGGTTTATTTGTGATGCTTATATGTGCTATTATATAAGAAAATAATATCGAAAGAAAAAGATGTGTGCACAATCTTAGAACGATAGCTCAAAACCGGACGCAGCTTGTCACACTGATCATTGACATATGTTATATAATATATTTGATAGGGTCACCGACGTGTCCTTCTGGACCATGGAATTAAAATAATAAACATAATAGATACGATAGGTGTTTAGAGGACTAAGAATCGACTAACCATTTAAAGTAGAAACACCAGAGCAACCGTAAAAAATCCTCAAACATTTCCAATGTTAAAATGAAGACTTTGCCCGAACAACTTTTGTTGGAATCTGAATTTTGTTGGCTCATCTGAAAACAAGCATACAGTCGAGAGCTGTCTACTTTCATGCTCATACGCGTAAATGCTCATAGACGTGTTTTGAAGCACCGCTATCGGATTTTTTTAACATTTTTTTCGACCAATCTTTTTTCGAGCGATTGACAAATTGTGTGGAATTCAACATGAACTAATTTTTTTTTACAGTTAACTGGTCCCACTAATACCAATAGTTGTCTCTATCTCACGATAAGTCGCATGGCGATCTGGCAATATCAGTTTGCGCACAGCATTGATAGCTTGGGGAACGACAACTGATTTTGAAGGACATTCACGAAATTCGTCTTGGAGTGAATGGAATTAAGTTCAGCGATACACTTTTACTGAGTTAATTCAAGTTGAAAGTTGAAATAAGTAATCGTTCATAATGTTATCGATTTAATTTCATTTTTTGGCTGTACTTTTTACTATAAACAACACAAATAACGCTCGTATGTCAAAACGTTCTAAGTATGTATGAGTGACCAGATTGCAATACTAGGATTGCGAAATCGCAAAATATGAAAGGCAACCTGCTTAAAATGACAATAAAGAAGAAACCTGGTACTACAAATAATAAAAAGCCAGACCGTTAGAAAAATTTTAACTTGAAAGAAATGAACTTGAGGTAGTGCGCTACCAACACATTTATGCGTACTATGTGTTATGTAGGGTGTTTTCTTTATGGTATTAGATTCCCAAGAGTGATATATTTGAAAGAAAATTAATCAATCTTAGTGATGAAACATATTTCTGGCACCTATAAAGACCGCTAAAAGCAAATGATTCGCAATTTTTCGGTTCCTCACGTCAATATCAATATTTTAAAGGCGTAATAAGCCACACAGCCAGAGGTCAACAACAGCCCAACTATGCTGGAAAAGTGATAGCGTTTTTATTATTTAAAAGTTCGATACCTCTAAACATACACCCTTTTAAAAACTGTTGCCTTGATTATTACTGTTTCAGCATATAGATTTTAAATGTGGAGTGCTAAGTATTAATATTTTGGGCACATACAAGTATGTATATAAAAATAATAAATAAACAAAATTATTAAGTGTTGAACAAACGATAATTGCAAAGTACTATAGAATATATATATAACTATATATTGTATATTTATAATCGTTAGCTCAAAACATTTGCTCATGCATGTAAATATATGTGTGTATGGGTGTGTGAGTGCGTGTATTGGTGAACAATGAAATGTATTGACCACATTTTGTTTGCGAACTCGCCGTATTGTTTGCATTCATTTATGCTTGTGGCAAAACCTTCATGCAAACACACACACACATACACATGTACACGCACATTCGAAAAATTATGCAATGATTATGCACTTGTGGCTCGCATTAGCAAAGCAAATAAACAAACATATGCATTTCGGCAATAACAGTTTTTGCGGGCGAATAATTCACTAGCTAGAATTTCGATGAATAATTATATTGAATATTATATCATATAAAGTAACTTTCTTTTATACCCTGAACCTAAATTAAGTTTGCAACATTGTTGGTAACAAGGTATATTGTGATCAAAAATTTTGCACACGTTCTTTCCTCACTAAAAAATTTGTCATTTGTCGGAACCGCCGATATCGGATCACTATAGCGTATAGCTGCCATACAAATTGACCAATAAAACTCAAGTTTTTTTAAGAAAAACTTTTTTATTTGACAATGACGAAATATTCACCAAATATCGGCATATCTTACAATATTATGGAAAGCTTCGCTACAATATCTGAAATTCCTACCAATCCTCTAATATCTACTAAAATAGCATATAGCTGCCCTGTTAACTGGCCGCTCAACATCGAGATAAATATCTTTTTTTTTTATATTTACACTGTAAAAAATATACTTGTGAAGGTTATTATAGCTTCGATGAAGCCAAAATTAACACTATTGCATTTTTGTTGTTTATTATACCTATTGGAAGTGTAGAAAACATAGATATAGTTAAGATTTTCGCAAAGTAAAAATGCACACAATCTTCTTAGTTACAACTTTCACTTAAAAGAGTCTCGATTATAACATTTAATTTAAAACATTGTTTTGTGTTCTTTGAGGCAAAATATTGGACACGTATTTTTTTCGACTCAATATGAAAATTTTTGGAGTTATGAAAGTATTTTATTATAAAAAATAACTCTCTATGATTTTTCTCAGCTATCCAATCAGATATTCGTTGAATTTTTTCGACTTTTGTTTATACATAAAATGTCCCTTATTATAAACAAATAGTTATATTTTCATTTTGCAGATATTACAAACTATTAATGTTTATAAAAAATTTGTATAAAAAATGTTTATAAAAAAAGTATATCTCATTTGAAAGCTAAGAAAAAATCGAACAAAATAGACCGGCTAGTATTCTTATATAGAAATATTTTTCTTCGTATACGCAAATGTTTAAAGGTACTTTTTGCAAAAAAATACGTGTCCAATATTTTGCCTCACAAAACACAAAAACAAAAAATATGTTTTGTACGAAAACAAAATGTAAAATGTTAATTTTCGATAGAATGATCCATATATACCTATTTGATATGCATTATATTAAATAGAGCTACGCATTTCAGGCATCGGGCCGTGACTGCGCAATCACTTTTAATTAATGAAAATTACAGCGTACGGTATTTCATTGATTATCGCGCGCATATCGCTTTGGAGGCGTAAGTGTTACATAATTGGTAAGCTGCAATGTCGCAAGAAGATACTGAAAATTAACAGTAAATTGATTAAACCATAAAAGTTAAGTAGCTGTTAATTGGACCAATATAAATAAAGTGCGCTGTGAAGGCACGATGTGAATTTAATTAAGATTGCAGTGCAACACTTAAACTACTGCGCGGTATATCATAATGTGAAATCGTTAAAAAAAAGACAAAGAAAAAAAATGAAAGTAGGTAAAAGGTATTCAAAACAAGTATACTAGGAGATTCTTACAGAAATTGCGATATTAAAACTATAATAAATAACTAAAATAAGTAAATCCTTGAAAACGATCTAACAATGAATGCATAAATAATGCTCCATACGAGTATAATGCAAGTCATAGTTAATGAAACGAATAACGACGAAAATATTAAAACTCTTACACACAATGCCGCTTCACTTAACAGACCTGCACCCAGCACAAAATGCGGCACGCAGTCTTAATACTGTCCGCATACATGGTTAATTTTAACTTAGTTAGAATGTCTCGATTTAATTTGTTCGATAACTTGTTGACATTTTAAAGGTAGTTTCCTAATACCACGCTCAAAGAAACCCTCATTCCTAGTGGTAAAAAAACTGAGCCAATCGATTTTCACCAGCTTCTCTTGAGGTAAATTTTTCACCAGCAAACTCTTTTGCCGTAGACAGGAACAGGTAGTATTTACTTGACGTTAGATCCAACCCATAAAGTAGATCTAGAAGAACCTCTAATCCAAGCTACCGGCGCTTCAGGCGAGTCGCTATCAATGTGTGCCTGGCCCTCTTCTGTTGGAACACAAATCATCCCTCATTGTCAAATGCTATCCGCTTCTGAACGATTACTTTATTTCAGACATTGTTGTCAGTATAGGACCGAATGAAGATTTTGGCCGTAAGAGTTCAATTCAGGGTATATGATCAATACCACCAAACACATTTCAAATTCTTCCAGAGCGTTAATTCTGGCTTTGCCACGTTTTGCGCCAGTTCACCATGATTCGATTACGATCGTTTTTACTCTACGTCATCATAAGTGACGCACTTTTCATCACCAGTAATCTATAATTTCTGCTCTCAATCAACTTTTATTAACAAAAAAATTAATTTTAATTTTTTCTTAAACAATCAATTTTATCTGAATAAAAAAAACACGCTTGGCATCCCTTTTTTGTTGCATAACCAATATAGCAAATTCATATTACCTAATATTTACTTATTAAAGTATTTAACTGCTTAAGCAAAAATCAAAATTTTAGAATAAAAAATAAAGAATATTTAATAAATTATTAAAAGTACTATTCAAGAAACTAAAAAATATGTCTTAAAATTTATAAGCATATGTCCATTAAATAAAAGTCATTTATATTTCAGCACTTACCCTTAATCTAGTCGCTGTTAAGATCTGCTTACACGTAATTGGATGGACAATGGCAAAGTAACGCTCCATACAGATGACGACGAGAATGAAAATTGACGCCGTGTAACTGAGGGAGTGCACAAATTGATACATGCGGCAAAGAAACTCGCCAAACACCCAGCTAAATGACAAGGAGTAGAAAAGAAAAGTATATGCTTTATATAGATAAATACATTAATGGAAATATTTGAAGGGTTGAAGGTATAATAAATGGAAATGTGTATACATAGAAGTTAACATAAAAATTTACTATACTTTTTTTTTTTAAGTTCGAAGTGGAATTTAAGATTGAGGGTACAATTATGTGCTATATATATTTTTCTCTGAATTTTTATTTTCTGTTTAATTATATTCAAGCAAGCTGACAATGCACATATTAACAATATCCACACGCTGTCAACGGTGTAAACGAAAAGAAAAAGCAGGAGCGTGTCACTTTGCTACACTGGAATCCGCATTACGCACTTGTCACGTACAAGTGCACAATAAACGCGCAAGCACGCGACACAGATAACCAAAGTAGAGTCAAGTAATCGCATTATATGCATGACCAAGCCACGGCCAAGCAGTTACACACACACACACATATGTGCTGATATAGCTTAGTGTGGCTATGCACAGATTCACTTGCGAGTGTAAGTGCTAGCGGCTATTACACATAAGTAACTTTGCCAGCAGAGCGAGCATACGTGTGCGACATGGCGTATACGCAACATTTAATTTAACATAAATTCCGGCAAACGCAAAAGGCAAGCGCGTCTGCAGCAGCGTGTGTGAATGACAACAGGCAACTGCTTTATAAATTTCACAGTTTTTTACGCGCAAAAAAATATAAATTAAATTCTATAAGAATTTGTCGTGTTGTGGCAGTGAGAAAAGTGTGCAAATGTAATGTGAACGCACATGGGATTCACAGCAGCTGCTGCTGCGAAAAACTAGCAAATCTTATGACATTGTTCTTGTTGTTGTTGACATTGCATTGCTGCTGGCTTACGTTACTCATTATGCGTAATTGCAGTGTCGTCGCGGCGCGTTGCAAGGCAACGGATTACCATTGTGTTGGCTGATGGAAACAGATGTGTCTGATGCAAATGCGAGTGGTTAAGCCCGGAAAGAAATTGTGGTATGCTGTGCAACAGCAGCAACAACTAAGTAAGTGGTAGAGTGCAGCCACAAGATAACACAAATGCACGAGAGTAGTTTGCAACGGAAATTGTGGCAAAAACGTTTAATGCTTTGGGCGAATGTGACAGCTGTGGCAGATCTTACGAAATATTTAATTTGTTTTTTCTTTTCTTCGCGGTAGAGACACTGCACTGCACTGTGAATGACTGCGCTGCAAGACATTTCACATATGCCTGCATAGAGACTTTTTACATCACTTTTTAAATGTAGTTTTTGGCAATTTATGTGCTAAAACTCTATATGACCCTTTATTTGGCATGCTTTTCGCGGTGTTGTTAAACGAGAAATGGCATAAAAATGTGACGGATCTCTGACGTTTCCTTTTGGGTGTTAACTTTGTGGCAAACTTATTATACCCTGTTCGGGGTATGAAAAATCGTTTGCTTCGCTTGCATTGAAGCTATAGCAGCCCTCACAAATACAAAAGATTTCTTACAAAAATTTTAGTTTCATTCAGTTCAGTTTGCATGGCAGCTATATGCACTTAATTAAAATTGTTAAGCTTTTATGGCAACTATATGACATAGTAGTCCGATATCGGATTTTCTCACAAATGAGCAGCTCTGCACAGCTTGCAGAAATGCATGCTTAAACCTGAGATAACATTAGACTAAACCGCTTTAAACAATACTGAAGCTGGCTAAAAAAGTTTTGTGATATTTGGCTAGCAGCAGTCTTAGTTTTATAATAACGGACAAACAGAAACAAATAAAAGCAAATGCTATTATATTATATATTAACATTTATGTACTGTACCAGCAAGTCATAATATAGTGTTAAAAGCCACTAATGGCGCTAAGGATAAAGATTACTATGTTTAAGACAACTTAACTATAAGAAATTATAGGGAATTAAGCTGAAAAAGGAATCAGACAGACTTATCTTTATTAATTATGTACTTCTTTGAAAGCAAACATTTTCCTTGGCAGCGCTTAAGAACAAACCTACAACAATTATACTCATCTCTATAATTCATTTACTTCCAATATGTATTCGGAGAAGGAAATGAGAGGAATACATATATTTTGTTTTTTTTTCTGAGACAATATTTCCACTCACTTGAGCCATTAGCGCCTCAACATGCCTGACGCGCTGCTCACTTAAACAAAATCAAATACTGGATTAGTGTCATAATTGCCAAACAAGTGTCGGACCGACACACGTGCCGGCTGCAGCGACAAAGAGGAATATATAAACGCTAGTCGCTAGGGTGCTGACTAAAGCTGAGCTGACAATTTATGCGCAAATTTCTTGAAGCAGGCAATTTCTTTTCTGATGCTGATTATTTGTATGTGTGTATGTGTTTGCGGAGATTTCCATTATGTTCGTATTTAAATTTTTTTATGCTGTTGTATATTTATATATAAGTTGTCATAATGAGAGGCCAAAGCACTTGAGGCGCTTATTAGCAGCCAGCCAAGAAATTACAGCGCCAGTAAAGAGGCTATTAAAAGGAGACATAAAAAACAGCTGTTTATATGCAAATATGTGTAAGGTATGTTAGGAGTTTGTGTATTTATAACGTCAGCATAAAATTCATTATGATATATATTTGAGAAGTTTATTTCGGAATTAGCTGTGGTTTATGAGAAAAATTCTTTGATTTTCATATTATATTTCTATAACTTTCAGAGTTTGGCGAGTTTCAAGTGTGTTGGCACTTGAGGTAAAATTATTGCGCGATTAACACTTTCTTATTACATAACTGTTAATATGACAAATTTGAAAACTCTGAGTTGTAAAAAATAAATTTAATAATGGTGAAAAGTTCAAAAAAAAAAATTGTTTGCAAATAAATATAGTGATATACACACAATTATTTTGATTAATTCAAGCTGAGAGAGGAGTTCTTTGACTTTAATTTCTCCGCTTAATTACTAGCAGTATGTCTGATGGCAACAAATATTTACACAGACGTAAATTTCACTTCCGTTAGTTGATTGTCTCCAAGCGCAGAAGAGTCAAATGTAATAAATTAAGTTAGGCATATATTTATATAGATACAGATTTAAATAGATATCTTATATAGATATATGTATATTATGTATAAAGATTTTTACGTGAATACACATATATATTTGTATATATTTAGGACACATTAATTATACATAAATTCTTGTATAATAACGCTAATTTGCAAGCGCATATATGATATGAAACTAGGTCAATCATTTTATTTCCGAAAAATTGGTTGGTAGATAATTCAAAAAAAGGTATCTCCAAGTATGAGCGCTTAATATTAATAGAAAGGTCCTCCGCTTTTCAGTTACTTATTTTTGCTTTACTGTTGGAAACAAGAATTCATATCTCAGTATCTATAGTTTGAAAAAGTTATTCCGTCACTTATATTTTTGGGAAACCGAAATCTTTGTAAAAATGGTCCACTTAAATTTTTACTTAAGCCTCACCGTTTTAAAAGCTATAAAAAATTAAAGATTAAATTATATTTAGGCATATTTTTTTATATTCTTTTTCATGAATTTTCATTGAGCATTCTTTCCAGTAATAATGTAAAAATAGAATACTGGAAATGGAAACTTTCCTATTAATATTAAGAGCGAATACTAAGAGAGAATTGTTTTAAATATCTACTAACCAATTTTTCAGAGAATAAAGTGAAAAAAATAATCGATGCAAAAAACTAACTATTTTATTTTACACACCCTAATATGCACATTACAAAATTCAACGCGCTCACGCCGTTCGCATCGATAATGACATGCCATTCAGGCAATAAAAGCTCTTTGGATTTCACATGAAAATCATGACATTTGTTCGACATAATATAAGCTGTGGTGCTGTCGCTAAGACAGTTACACGCTATAAAATTCTACGAAAACATGACCACTAAAGCAGTTAACTATGCGGAATGCCATAATTTGTGTGGGATTTCCGCTTTCTCTAATGGCCACGAAGGACAATTCACTGCTTGACGCTTTGTTGTCTAAATTTGGATGACTTCGCAATGTGGTGTAAATGACAACGAGCGAATCAAATATTGTATTTGTATATTATATATTTATGTTTATATATAAAATTCCACAGAAATAAAAGAATTTTTCTTGAAAAGGAATTAAAGCAAAATCGTGAATATTTGAGACTGAGCGCGGCGCTATTGTAGACTGTAGTCACACTGATAATTTATATATATTATATATGTACAATATATTAAATAAGGTCTTCGACGTTTCCTTCTGGGTTTTACAAACTTTCTGGCAAACTTAATATACCTTGTTCAGCGTATAAATTTATTTTTTAAATAAAATAGTTCAATCAACTAAAATTTGTGCACTAATTTTCAACTTCATGAAAAAATTCTCAACTAAATGCAAATATGTAATTGGTTCGCATGAACCTGTGGCACTACTTCTAATAATCTTGCAAATTTTTTATAATTTAAGCGAATTCGTGATTATTTACGCTGGAAGTGAATTTAAAGCCAAAGTTTCCAAATTAAGGCTATCAGTAACCTCTTCATATGCATATTAAATCTATACGTCACAGTAAAGCTTTAGCATATGTGCGAAAATTTGCATATAAATTATTGCATAAAGATATTGTATTTATTATAATAATCATCATTGACTTGACTCATTCATCCGCTACCACGAAAGTATATTACGCTTGAACGCCATGACAAATGTTACTTATACGCCACGTCGCCACCAATTTTATTTGAGTAGTGTGTAGATTTATTTGCGCTGTGTGCATAACACATAAGAATATGTGTGGGAGCGATAAAACTGTCTACATTTGTCTGAAGGGTAACATATGGGTTAAATTAAATTATGAAACCTACATTTACACACATGAGTTATTACGCATTTATGCAGATAAAAGCAGTTGGTATATATAAAATATACACCAAATACCTACACTCACACAATCGTCGCTTTTTCTTAATGCACAATGCTTGTTAAAATGTTCATACACAATTATACAGTGAAATATGTTTATAAGTGCCCTTGTATACTCGTGGGTAGCTACCTTTTGTCGTATAAATATTCATGGCAGGCATGTCAAATTAGTTCTGGCACCTCATGTTGGCAGTGCAAATATTTTGTAAACAGGCTTGCGTACAGAATGTAAAGACTTTCAACAATGCAAAAATGTATACTAATTTGGTGCTAATTTCGAATTAATGAGCTGTAGTGTACACAATAGTACTTACTCAGTGTCTTAACTCGCAATGAGTTACGCGTACTCAAACATAACATCTAATACAGCAATACAAGAAAGCTTAGAATAAAATTTAAGATTATCTAAAGAAATTTTATCGCAGTCAGATTAAGTTTTAAATATATATTTTAAATAAGATTTTTTCGATTGAATATCCTATTTACGGAAATTAGAATTTTTTGACTAACGAGAAAATTGCCTTTTAGTTACATTCAATAGTAACAACGTTTCAAGGGATCAAATTTGATAAGAACAAAATATTTCTACGAATTTGTAACAGTTTAAACAAATAGTCTAAGATTGAAAATTTTATATAATATTAGTACATCTGGACACTCGGTGTTGTGTCTATGACGTACTTACATTAAATACAAACTATTCAATACAGTGAACATGTTACTTACGATTTAATTTTGAAAATGATTGATACAAACATTTGTATGGAAAAAATTATGAGCTTTCAAAATCCAACCCGAAAAACTAATATTTTTAACTTTGAGACTTATTTATACATACGACTGCAAGAGTACCATTTCTCTAATAAACTTTCCAGTCAAAATGGTTGATACAAGAATATTTCCGGTCATCTTTTCCTATCAGCATGACTGAAAAGTTTATCGTTGCCATCTTGCATTGTTCTGTGCAATGTAGAACAGGGTAAAGATTTTTTAAAACAAAAGAAATCATAGTAGCATAAAACCTATCGAAAACTAAAGATTAAGTAACAAACCTTAAAAAAAAAATATTTTACTGGTGATCTGTGATCGGTAAAACGAAGGGGAGAAGCGTGGTTGAACCTTTAAGGGTAAGAAACGGAGTATCTCAATTTCCGTCACAGCTACGAGTCTTGTAGAAAAACGTTATATAACAATGTAGGGGGTAATGGAAACATCTATCGCTTTAATTTATAAACTTTTTCACATTACCTCAAAATGTATGTGTAAAACTCAAATAACCAAGTTTTCGAGTTTTCTATTTTTATAGTGTACAAAAATTTTTTCTGTCACGAAATTTGGTGTAAACTTAACTACTTATGTACCAAACATTTATTTTTTTTTTAAATTTAGAACCTTAAGGAGGAAACCTTTATGCATCGTAAAATAAAAAAAAAACATTATTTTCAATCAAATTCTCTAGACAAAACTTCAGTTTTTATTAACAGTCAGTAGGCTTTATATTTATTGAAATCTCTACTTTCTGTTGGTTGGCTGTTCTGAATTTTTCTATACTCTGAAGAAGGTGCTGATATTAAGTTTGCCACGAAGTTTGTAACACCCAGAAGCAAACGTTGGAGACTCTATAAAGTATATACATTAATATCTGTTCTTAATACTTTTCTTTGGAGATCTATAACAAAGTTTACTAGCGAATATTCCCTTAGTATTCTTTAAGGGTATCACTTTAATCCTCGCTTAGATTTTCTGCAACATGTAATAGTTATTTAATTGATGGGGTCAGGCTTCCTGAACATTAAACAGGAATATTTGTTTGTTAATTATAAAAGAAATTATTAATATTGGAAATTATTTCATTCTACCAACAACGCTTAACACGCTTTTAAAACATTTTCTCTAACAAATTTTCCACTATTATTATATTTCAACTCTCTAATCCTGTTTGAATAAAGTCAATGCATACCACCGGTGTTGAATATTAAAAACTACAGACAATATACATATAAGGCTGCATACACGATGCGGTCAACAGCAACTACCCAACCAGAAATATGAGTAAACCTTTATGCACAACAAACACATTTAACACATTGCCACACAACTCTCTCCACTATGGCTTTGCGCGAAAACTTAAAACTGTACGCATATTCGAGCTTTGCACTATTATGTTGCGTAAACTTTTCACTTTCCCAGCAAAAGGTATAACTTTTCTTTGTGTGCGCATTAAATAGTTTTTGCACTTTTTTGCCAATTTTTGTTAAACCAACATTGCTTTGACGTAATGGAGCTTCGGCAAGTCGATTAATTAAAAACAACAGCAACAACCACAATTTGCGCGTATATTGTGTGCTAAAGCTGATTACAAGAGTGCTGCTTACGTGCATGCTGAATATAAAGGCATGTATGTATGTTCATGTGTATATGTATGTATGTATGAATAATTTGCAGTTTATTATTCATTTTTCGGTTACTCGTTTCGCAAACAAATTTACAGTAAATCAATGTGAACACATGCAACGGCGCTGCTGAAAGCACAGGCAACAAACTGCAATTGCTTGCCGCGTAATCAAATAAAACATATTAAGTTATGTATGTAGTTATATTAGGGTGTCCAATATTCCATATGTTGATTTTATTTTTCAAAACGCCCTCTAAATGTATGTATATATGTAGCATCATATTTTGGATCTTCTGCATTAAATGTTTTTTCTCCGAAATTAATATACTCTATACAACTTGAAAATCAAGATATTATAGTACAAAATTTAACGCGCAAAAAAATGAATAAATCTTAAAGATTTTTTCCATAAAGCCACTCCTTAAAAAGTTAAATTTATATATTACGTGTACTGAGCATGTTTAAAGTCCTAATTAATTCTGTGTTGCTCATACGACACGGTGTACTGTATGGATACAGTACCTTTGATGTATAACTTTAGTTGCGAAAAACTTTTAAAGGAATGTTCTTATGAAAAAAAAACAAGAAAAAACTTGAACTTCCGTTGCAACTAAACTATGGTATAATACCCCTCGCAAATACAAAAGTTTCCTTACAAGGACATGATTTTGACCGATCACTTTGTATGGCAGCTATATGCTATAGTAGTCTGATCTGAAAATTTTGTTAGAGAATTTATACCGTTGCTATGGATAATAATTCATGCAAAACTTTGTCAAAAAATCTCATCAAATGAAAATTTTTTTCATACAAGCACTTGATTTCCATCGTTTGGTTTGTATGGCAGCTACATGCTAAAGCCGTCTAATGTTTCGACAAATAAGCAGCTTTTTGAGTGAAAAAGGACTTGTGCAAAATATAAGGTCGATATATCATATCTATACAGACAGAGGGTTATGACGAAATCGACTCAGCTTAGGGATCGTCCGCAAAAAACAAATCAACATGAGATAGAACTGACACCCTAATATGCATGTACGTATGTTTTAATAGCGCAGTTCTGCAAACATTTGCATGCCACATACATACCATACATATACACACTTGCCACAAATACTTGGCTTTTGTTCATGCGCTTGAATGCAGTTAAAAGTTTAAAATTTATTGATGAATTGTGTAAATGCTTTTGTGGCTTTGCTCATTACGGCATCGCATCGGCTGGCGCCATTATTAACGTTTGCTTATGCTTTCGCTTGATTTATTACCGTCGACTTAATGCAATTGAGCCACTCAAGTGTTATCGGATACACATGCATGCAGACATATGTTAACTTATTTGGTATTTTATCTTTAACTTCTGCATTGACGCGTGATTGACTTGCCAATCTTACATCTTATTTCATTTTATTTAATTTATTTTGAACGATAGTTGGTTTGCGCGCGATTAAAAAAATATTTTTATGCATGAAATGCATACGCAGCATTTATATAAGATTTTTGTTCAATAAAGTTTTTTTTATGAAACATAATATTATTGGAAAAAATAAGCGGAATTTTCAATTTTTGAAAACAAAAAAAAAAAATAATTTATTCGTCTACATTAATGTTGTCGCCTTGAAAATGGTCCGCATACGATATAATGCACTAATGCCAACGCTTCTTCCAATCGTTAAAACCCTTTTCAAACTTCAGCGAAACGCTTTTAATGTCATCTAATCTAATTTAAGATATCTTCATTTTTGGAAACAGGAAAAAGTAACACGGAGCCATTTCTGACGAATATAAAGGCTGGAACATTGTTACAGTATTCATTTTGGCCAAGAATTCTCGAACCAACAACAAAGTGTGAGCTTTTAACAAACGAAAATCGTCATGCTCATAAAAACACGTCCAACCTTAGCGGTTGCTACAGACAAAGTAAGCGGTGAATACAACTGAAAATTGTATTGTGCTTCAGGGAGATGTATGTATAACAACATTATAAAACAAAGTTTGACGATTAGACTCTCCAAATCCGCGAAATGTTTAATTTTAAAATTTCCGTTATTTTCTGAGCTAAAAACATAATTTTCACTTACCTATCTATAAGATAAATCGACAAATTTTGCATCACACAAAATAGACCCACACAAAAGTCCGCTAAAGCCAAGTTTGCTAGGAAAAAATTCGTTATTGAGCGCAAGCGCCGCGATAATGTTACAACCAGTATCACAAGTAGGTTTCCTGTAAGCAGAAAAAATTACTTTTTAATGCAAATCATTAATTTAATTATATATTGTAATATAAATATGGTATAAGAAAAAACCGAAATCCATTTGCGAAATAAACATTCAAAATTATTAGATTAGATAATAGCTTTTTTTAAAGGTATATGTCTCCGCTAAACAAAATCAATTAGTTATGTTCCAAACCTAACATAAAGTTTAATTCTGATATTTGTATTTTTAAATAGATAGTATAAATGAATTTTCGCATAAATTGTTCTTAAAATTGAAATAGATAGAACAACATTAGTTCTTCATATGAAAAATCATTCACAAATGTAACATTTTTCCTACTAGTACAATGGGTCTAATGAAATAGCACAGTTGGAGTAATGCGATTTAGGTCAATTATTAACCGTTTTGTTCAATAACCTTCATTTAAAGCGAATTTTCCACGGGCAACATTATCCGCTATAGACAGGAACAAGTAGTAATAACTTGTTGTCAGCACTGGACTAAAAGCTGGAAGCAAAAGGATCTCCCAAATAATATTTCGGAGCTACTGGAGGGTTACTATCGATGTATGTGGCCTGCCGTTGTTCTACTGGTAGCTAGCCGCTTCTGCGCGAATTATTCCTACGTACTGTCTTTTGAAAGTACAGATCCGAATTTTGCTATTAGGGATAAGTTTTAAATAGATCATCCCTAGTAATTTCACCAAACACAAAGCAAATCCTTCCTGACCTTCACTCCTGGCTTGACCATCGCTTGCGCCGACTCAACGCTATTTGAACGCGACGGTTTTCGCTTAGCGTTGCTTCAGATATATATAAATTTTGTTGCGATTCAGAACTGATTTGCAGCTTTATTTAAATGGCTTCAAAGGTATTTTTGAGTAATGTTCATATCCTGAGTAATCGAAACACTGCTTACGTGATCGAACTTGACAATTTAAATTATTTCCATATTTTTGACAATTTCCCTTCCAGAGCGTGGTGCTTCTTTTACATTGAAATTACCGGAATCAAATCGAAATTGCGCATGATTGGCTGCTGCAGTATCAACACCATAAATGTATTTAACATTTTTAGCGCCTAGCTTGCGTTTTCGCCTGCCCATCTTAGACGTGTGCTATAACATTTCTGCGCCTCCAAGATATTAGAATACATTTGCTGGCTTACAATAAATCTCTTTGGGAATTAACTGCAAACGAAAAGCCTTAAGCGACAAGAAAAATGAGTGCCGACAACGACGAAGAGAGCATGAGCGTCTACAGACAGGAGAAACTACAGAAAGCTTAGTAATTACAGTTAAAATTTTTAAAGAGTTGACAAAACAGCAAAATAAGCGACCAGAAGCAAGTAGGATTATATAATCGCGAACTCCCCTAATAATTTGTATATAATTACAATTACAGTCAAGTGGATCAATTGCCGGTACTGCAGCACTTATAGCGTATTTACGTACCCGACTACTTTCGTTTCCTTTGCTAAGAAAGAGAAGTCATGGATAAATTGAAATTTGATCGCAATACAATCATTGCAGGCACAATCAGCAGACGAAAGCGAATGCTTCCAACTGCACGCCAACTAAATATAACTGTAACTACTAAATATATATACGAGCATAAGTAAGTGTAGGTGTATGTGGAGGCAAGCAGGTATAAACATTTAATGACAAAAGTTTTTCAATTAAATTTTATTAACTATCTTAGTCTCGGTGAGTTGGAAAGTTTTCACTTGCCGCCGCTTTTATTGTCATAACCTTGGCTTTGACTTGGCTTCGTCTCTCTTGTGGCTCACTTAAAAAACTCTTGAGAAATTATAAACTTATTCTTGTCACAAGGCAAATTATTTGCAATGCAAGGGAAACAAGTAGAATAAATGCATAAATAATATTTACGACGACTAATTACGGGCAAAGTAGCAATTGTTATGCGAGTATTGTGGAAAGTTATTGCATGTTTGCTGGAGGCGTTCAAGTATTGACTTTTGTGCCTCTCTTTTAAATTGGTTTGAGATTTTCGACATTGGGTATAGTAGTCTAGTTATTGTAACAAGTTGATTTATGGGATTGAACTTCTTTTTTTAATAATGATACAGTTTTCAAATGAAATTATAATCTCTGTAATCCACTGAAGCTTGGATGTAGCAACCAACCTTCGAATAATCAAAGCCGTTCCCGGAGTGTACCTCACCATCCCAACACTTAAGTTATAAACACCCAGATAACTCGTGGTGAAAACCAAAACATACTCTTATAATGCCGGATTCAAGAAAGTACAGACCTATAAAAAGTCTTTGAAAATCAATACTAGGAGGTATCGAAATCTTAACTCTTTGCGCAACATACCCCAAGCTTTGGGCAATATAAGTCACTTGTGTCAGACAACGAAATCTTAACTCTTTCCAGAGCTTAACAAATATACCACAAATTTTATGAGCGATCGGGAATAAACAAATAATTCTACAGAAATTTTTACGAATTAAACACAAAATTCTGCAGGTGGGTGCCCTCTGCTCACTTCTACTAAATTTTATAACTCGCTAAGAACATAAGTGACAGTCTCTTACTAAATCGACAGCGCACACTGAAGAGTGAAAAATTTCGACTGTGGAGAACCCTAAAATGTTGGGATTTTAATTTAACAATCTACACTGTTTCGTTTCATACAGAGTCGTAACAGAATCCTTAAATCTCTAACCGGCAATCGGCCTGTTAGTCATAGATTATCCAATCACGGTATGGTTGCCGGAAAACAGGAGAACCCAGTCATATAGATCAATAGAAATACATTGAAGCTTGTACAGCAACCTAAGGTCTATTGTGCTCTCCCTTCCGTCACACAGAACTAAATTGCTGTCATTTTCTCCCTACCCACTATCAGCTCCTTGCGAATTAGCTTCTTTATGGTATGCCATACAAACCGGCTACCGAGTAACCAATACAGGTTCCGGTCCTAACAACTTGGAAGCAACTACAGTTCGTTCCCGGCTACACCTTTGTAACCTGACGACCAGATTGGGCGCACTCGGTTGCGGACTGATAGGCTGTTCAGCCTTTATATACACTCCTGCACCAATAGCGATGTAATCTCGTAAGCTCAGAAGGATTTTGACATATTGCAAAATGCACGACGGACAAAAACAAAGTACTTATTGATAGCTAACATGACTTTCCCTGTAAGGAATCCTTGTAAGGAACATAGCGAAGTCCTTTCTACGGATTTTCGTTTGGATACGTTAGTTGAGACCATCATTGAAGGTATTCATCTTGCCGCGAATGCCGCCCTGGGAATCAATTCAACATTATTGCAGAAGTTCAGCTCGAGTTACTTCACCACGACATACCAAGCATATGTCCTACGTAGTACAATGAGATCTCGTATGCGCCTTTCAGATTTTCCGACTCTGTTGATGGAAAGTCCCCGATATCATCTAAGGCGAAGTCTAGGAAATGTGCCTAAGATGATATCGGATACAATATCGGACCTGCTTTCCATCAAACATATAGTTAATCGCTACAGCAACAACAATATTAACACTAAAAACTTACTAAGCTTTTAAAACGGATTGTTGGCGCTTCCTTCTATCTATCTATATGCTATTTTTTGGGAAAAGGATAAAATTTGATCACATGACTAATAAAGATATCTCCATTAAGTTTTAGACACATAAACTTGTTGCGAAACTTCTAATTAATATCTTAACGGCAATAAATCACTCAGACTTCTACCCATACATCACTCAGCTATCAGTCGAGGCAAAAAGTCCTCAGTAGTTATGTATTATTTTCACTATTTTTTTCAAAAAGCTCTCGGCTCCAAAAACCTGCTTTCTCGCTTGTTAAGTGAAGGCCATAAAACACAAATTAAATCGTTAGCTAGTGTCAAAACAACAACAAGAAAAACTGAAAAGAACAGTGAGTTGCCAGTTAAGGCACGCCTGCCTACTCTAACTGATTCAAAACATTGTCTCCGACATAGAAAAAGCTCTTTCGTACGCATTGCAATATATTTTAGCCGCTTCAAAATGTAAAAAAAAACTAAAACTTGTTAAAATTTTTTTGTCAATTTAGCAACAACTGACAGGACCACCAAGCCAATATTGGCGCACGAGACTTGCTGGCAGTTTTGTGACACTTTTCATGTTTCGAACTTTTTTTCACAAAAGCCGACTTCACTTTTTATTTTTTGAAAATATTGTTGCAATTTCATTTGTTGTTACTGTTGTCTACACGTTCTCTCTAGGGATGCCCTGTGCTGGTATTGGCTGGCTTTTTAAAGCCTACAACATAAGCCGACATTACGTTGGCCGCTGCTGTCAGACGAATTTATGGCATTCAGCAAAAATATTGCTCCAAAAGCTCTGCGTAAATACTTTGACAAACAAATTTTTTTCAACACACTACAGCAACGCTTGTTGTTGATGTTGCTGTGGCGTCGTTTATTGCCTGCAAAATTGTATAGTTCGCAGCGATTTGAAGCCATCTTCAGACCCTGTCGGGCAACGCTTCGGTGCCTGGTAAAATGATGCATGACACAATGGCGCAGCAGGAGCAGCCAGTTGGCTGCAAGTTAAGCTACAGCACAACAACAACAATAGCAAAGAGGAATGCTTCTAGGAGTACACTTGCGAAACATGTGCTAGAAAAACTGCAACAATTTGCATAAATTGACTCTGTCTTTAGTGGCGCTCTTTCACTTCATTTTCTATCGCTTCAATTTGCAACTTTTGTCCCTCTCTCGCTTCATAGCACAAGCACACATTTGCGCTCACTGCCTCGAATTTTCTGGAAAACCAACAGTGGCTAGCAAATTACATAATGCCATTGTTGGTAATGCAAGCTGAGGTGGAGGGGGGAGTAAAATCACAACTCTATTGACTGTTGCTGCTATGGTCGGTTAGCAATTTTACGGTGATTTTCAGTTTAGCTAAAAATAAAAATTGCAAATTGTTCTGAATAAATTTATGCGGCTCGTCTGCACTGACTTGAGGCGTGTACGTACATACCTACATA